TTTTGGGCATGGATTGGGAGTCATTGTAATAATTTCTAACAGTCGTGGTGGCCAGTCACAATTCTTATAGCTAGAAGTATCTGCCAGGAAGAACGTGCCACTGGCGAAAAAAACCTGCGGGGGTAACTGTGCAAAAAAGGCATCCTCGTACCGGCAGCTGGTACGCTTTCGACTAGGTCTGTTAATACACATACGCCTATTATGATATCTTTATTGGAAAGATTCTGAATGATTTAAACTGATATCATTAACACTCTTCTCGCTCAACTGACGATTTCGTGGTGCTTTAAAGTGCCAATTGCAAATTTGTTGCCAATTTCTACACTGAAATTTGGTGAATATTTGATGCAATTCTTGTCACTTCGTTCCTTGTTTGTCTGCGTTCGCAACCCCTCGTAACCATCTCGCGGCCCTCCGGGGGGTTTAGAGCCACTGGTTTAGTGAGATATTATGCAACTCAAGAACGTCCTGACAATCAAGCATAGGTCCTATGTTAGTGATATCACTGGGACGTTCCGAGACGACTGGTGCGGCTATTCCAAATTCTTCAGCATTAGCTACATAGTTAGTGCTTTTGTTAGTATCTTCCGCAAAAAAGCCAACGAGAATCGGAGAAGTGTGCGCTGCTTGTAATATAGTGGTATGAAAGTAGCTTACCGTTTCTACAAGGAGCACAGGGACCGGTAATGAAATGGAAAGCACGCTGCAATTCGAAAGATCTAGAAGAGGTAGTGAAAATGGCTGATACGATTCCCTCGCAGCCCACTACTCATTTGCAAAAGTGGGCTTCATCGGGATTGTACCTATCGTCTATTCGATGTACCGCCTGTCCCTCTTTTAGCCAGATTTTTTTGCGCAAAAAAAAAAAAAAAACGAGAAATGTCTTGCGAAAATGCAAGGTAACGGTAAATATTTTCATATTAGGAACGTATCACAAAGATAAGGAAGAGAAGATAGTTGCAGTGAAAATTGTACGACTTGGCGGCGGAAATCCGGTTAGTTGTTTGCTCCGGACAAGCGAACATTTTAAGGCTTACTAAATCTTAGCTGCACTGGTCAATGCTAACAGTTTCAAGCAGGAGGGGAGGGCATGAGAGAAGCGAGAGCGTTTATGGAACAGATGCAGTACCTATATTTTTTCAGATTTTGTGTGCATGTTTCGTAGCTGATTAGAAGAAGAAAAATTAAAAAGGAGAGGTAGCTACGTTTGCAACTCACCCCAACCTGACCCATCATATCAGAATATCTGTACCGTCATGTTTTGTTTCTTTGCGGACGAAAACGGAAGCAAAAAAGTGCTAGCACTACGAGTATTTCGATCCCAATGCTTGGATGTTAAGATCAGCTACAGTTCATAGTTCTCTAGCTATACAGTTTTGACCACTGCCAGCCTGCTAGCGATCCTGGTGGTCAGCTGCTGGCATTCTCAGCATTCAGTTTACTATTAGCGATAGTGATGTTCGTTTCGTTTTTTGAACGGTAAGTGTATTGTTGGTACCCAAATCTCTGTTTACAGGATGCCGAAATGAATTGTTTGGGGGAGTTGAAAAACGAGGCGCTAATAATGTCACTGCATCGGCATCGATTTCTTATCGAATTCTTCGGTATTTCTTCGGATAAGGTGATCTTTACAGAAAGCCAAACAGTTACCGGTTGAATTCTCGTCTAGCTTGAGAAGTAAAAAATTCGCTATAAAAAGATTTTTGAGTTTGGAAGGGAGGCTAATGGTCGGTATGAATGGCGATACGTAAAAAGAGCAGTTCTGGGAACCGAAATGTATGCGTATATACATGTATATATATACACA